CCACACACACACACACACACGCACGCACGCACGCACGCACGCACACATACACACACTCACACACGCACGCGCACACACACACACACACACGCACGCACGCGCGCACACACACACACACGCACGCACCGCACACACACGCACGCACCGCACACACGCACGCACGCACGCACGCGCACACGGTGGAGGGCTAGCCGGTTATCAGACACTGTAATTATCGTGACGTAACGTGGACCGACAGCTGCTGCAGCCAGCCCAGCACGTTACCTTAACGCCGCGCCGCTGATAGCCGCTGCTTTCTTTCTCACCTTCTCGTCTGTGTTCCGCATGCGTTCGTCGCCGGCATGCACTAAGCTGTTGCTTTACGTTCGTTAGGTTCCGCGTTCGTAGCGACGGCGTGTCGTAACAGCGGCATGATTACATTCATCTAGCTGTGTTTGTGTCATATACACACACGCAAATACCTACAAACAACCCCCTCCTTTCTCACACACACGCGCGCACACAAACACAAACGCACCTACAAATCTCTCCACGCGTGCGCGCACGGACCCGCGCACACAAACACAAACACCCCTCACCACACGCGCGCGCGCACGGACCCGCGCACACAAACACAAACGCACCTACAAATCTCTCCACGCGTGCGCGCACGGACCCGCGCACACAAACACAAACGCCCCTACAAATCTCCCCACGCGCGCGCGCACGCACCCGCGCACACAAACACAAACACCCCTCACCACACGCGCGCGCCCAAACGCACGCACGCGCTTAAGCACACACGCGCAAATGTAGCAAATTGGTTTAGGAATTTTTTTTTTCGGATGAAAATATTTCTTCGGTCTGATTCCCCGGACTGTTTGCTTACTGCATGTATAGGTATGCACACGGCGCGGCAGCGCTGTAGGGAGAAGGAGGGAAGGCGAAGGGAGAAGAAGCTGGGGGAGGAGAAGCGGGGGGCTGTTGTCTGGCTGTCGTGTTTCATTCGCAGCGCAGAACATGAATATATTTGCTTAGCATGTGTTCGACGCTAGGTTTCTCTGTAATCACTACTGGCCAATTACCGACTGTCCTAGCGGTTTTGCCTTTTTTTTTTATCTCATTAGCAGTTTACATCATTCATCTAATTTTATTATAAAACCTCTGGCAAAAATATGATTCATGCGGAGCAAGATGAAGCCTTGCTTGTTAATTAAATAAAGCCCTCGCTCGGTAATTGTTTTCTGGGGCTTGATTAGGCCGAACTGTGGGCGGTAAGTGGGTGCTTTATACGGTGTGCGTGCGTGCGTGCGTGCGTGCGTGCGTGCGTGCGTGCGTGCGTGCGTCCGGGCAGTATGTGCCAGCCTGCCCTGGCCGTGCACGCCCACACGCAAATGTAATCCTGTGTGCTGCTGAGGTGTAGGGGGTGGATGCAGGTATCCTGTATTCTGACAGCTATGGGGGTACCACTGTTTTCTTGTCGTCTGGATGCAGCTAAATGAGGCTGAATGTACAGCGCGCCATCTGGTGAGCAGTGGAGGATCTAGAGCGATCGTTCGTTGCTACGGAAGGAGAAGGAGGAAGAGTGTCTTGGTATTGTTGTCTTCTCCGGGGTCAGTTCGGGTTAGAGAAGATTCACTCGCACGCCTCTTTATGCAGCGCGACCTCTGTCTAGTTAGTGAGAGATCTCTGTGCGCCGGTGGAGAGTGAATCTAGAGGTCACGGGATCACGCTCGCTGAGGTGGTTCGCTCGCCCCGTGTGAATGCACGTAGCGCCTCTTTCATTGTGTCACGCACGCTATTGTTGTTACGTGTTAAAGAGAAAATATGCGTGGATATATATATATACATATATAGGGGCCAGCGTGACAGCGGATGCGTGTCTCGCACACTTATCAACAAAGCGCAGAAAATGAAAGAACAAAACTCTACGTCCGCAGACGATCAGACAGCACAGGAACGTCTCCGGCGACAAAGGAGACGCGGCGGCAAGGAGGCCCGGAGAGCAGGCGCACGACACGCACCACGCACGCCACGCACGATGAGAGGGAAGAGAGAGGAGGAAACCAGGATGGGCAGGGAGGGAGGTGGGACGCGGGCGCACGCACGCACAAAGCACGGGGCACGAACCGCTCTACCGTAGCGCACACCACGCACTGCACGTCGGGCACGATCACCACAACATTGCACCACACGCAACAAGTTGCACATGAGTCACCACGCACGCACAGCGACACACATCACACGATAATCCGCGACGCAACTTCCGCACCAGCTCGACGGATCGAGGTGCATCATCACAATCATTCCACACTACACTCATCGCACACACACATACACAGTGTATTTTTTTTCACCACACCACCGCACACACATGTGACGCGCACACACGCACGCACACACCACGCATGCGAGATGGCGTCAGTGCGACAGCCAAGCACAACGTCAACGTCATGACGCATAGACGAACGGTACGTCAACCGTCCAGCGTCCTGACGCAATGCCACAGTCACAACGGTCTTTGAATGTCACTTTGCCAGACGCAAGGACGAGTTCTACATACAACGTCATGACTGACGCAGGAGAGGATGTTACGTCAGTCCCATCGGCCATGCGACCCGCACAACGAGCGACAACAGCACATCGTTACCCAACACAAGGTCAGGGTGCTTCTCTCGATCGCACACGCTGGATGATTAGTGAAAGTACCTTAAGCAGCGTGCATAGCTACTAACGTTGATCTTTCCCATATCACGGATTCCTAGGTGACTGCTCATCGCCTTCTCGCCATAGATAGATCTCAGCCGTCATAAATAGGGGTGACGTCGAGGAGTACAGACACCATCTTTCATCTCAATATTATAATAGACACGTATATAAACCAAAAGTTAGGACGGTGAACTGGCTACTGTCGAGATAATTAGTAAATGCTTAAAACTGATATAGGTTCCTAGGCTGAACTCGAAGGCTAGCAATGATAGGACAATGGGAATGTCTGGACATTATTGTGTTCGGTCAGTCCTCGAGCTAACCGCTGCAGAGGGCCGCTATGAGCTGCTAGAGGAGTGCGCCCAACCGGCAATGGCTACTAGTCAGAGCGCGCATAGGGGGCGGCTAGTACAAGATATCGCGCAGGTCTCAGCTCAAGCATAAGAAGCGCTTTAGACGCTCAGATTGACGCTGCTGGCGGACATCGTTCGCATCAAGAGGTGGCGCCACATAGGGGAGAAGGGTGCGTAGACGGAGGCAGGAGAGTATGCGCCGAACTCTGCTACGCACACCAGGACCGACACGGGGCGGCCTAAAACGGTCCAGCGACACGACCAACGGAGCGGCACGGGCAGAGCATTGTGGTCACACGTTTTGGTCCGTGGCATCTGACACGCGCAAGAATGGCCCCGCGACAGCGCCACTGGCACCTAGCACGCTCTCAGTCGACGACGCACTAGGCACGCCCACAATGCATGCGCGGGAGACACAGTCCTGCTTCGGTTCGGATCTTGTTGCAGTGTCATCGGGGTGTGGCAGAAGGAGCGGCGAAAGGTGGTCTTGAAAGTCGGCATGCACGGATGGTGATTTGTAGCTGTCATGACGAGGATTGTGCAATGTAAACGCTACTTACCTGCACTGACCGGGTAGCCCGCAGGCGTCAAGGCACCTATGTGGTCCGTTGGGAAGCCGTCAGACCACCGCACACCAGGCCTCGACGTTATTCGGCACCGAGTAAGTCAGTGGGAGGGACGGCGATTATCGAAGAGAGAGAAGCGAAGGGAAGTGCGAAGACCGTGCAGATGGAGGGTAATAAAAGGGGAAATCAACGAAGAAAGAATGAAGTGTCAGCGACACCGTGGCTGCACCACAAAACAGATGACCACAAAGTTGATGAGTAACAGAAGAAAGTCAGTATTAATTGAAGCACCATTCCGACGTACATTATATCGAACGTATTCGGCCATGCCTGTATATCCAGTTAATACATAAGTTATAACGCAAGAAAATGGAATCAAACAAATTTGTGACCCGTAGATAAGCGCTATACCCGCTTCTGTAGGGTCGCAATGGCGTGCAATGAAAGCTAGTTATCGCTGCGTTCCGACACGCTTCTGTAAATCTTTACCTAATATAGACGTTTATCGCAGGGGGAAGGATAATACGCAATTTTGGCATTACAAGAGTATTGGTCCACATCGAAATCTTGTAAAATCGAAACGCAGAACGAGTGGTGACACCACAGAGCGTTTGTCGTCTATATAAAATGCATAATAATTTCCAAAAACCCTCAGCCTCAATTTGCATAATTTTTTTTTAAATATCAAAACAACCGTAGCCTTATTCCATCCGAAGCCAAAAATCGAGCAAAATCAACGTGAAACCTCAAAACTGACTAATCGCAAATCATCCCAATTTTTGATCAAGTAAAAGATTGCCAGTGGCTCGAAAGTACGGCGTCGAGCGGCGTTGCTTCAAAATAGGAACATACTATGGGACATAGCAGTGGAACGAACTATACCCCAATTCAAACACAACGGTGGCCCAACGGTTCCTGGAGTTTATTCCGTGCCGAAAGCCGAATGCGTTGACGCGACCGACGGACGGACCGCGACGGACGGAACGGAAGCGAACGAGCGAGCAATGACTGAGCGACGTAACAGGACGGACAGACGACGACCCATGGGCATAGAGCTCAACTTGACGGATTGTCCAAAAGCGTGAGCTAAAATAGGGGGAGGGAGTGACCGAGAGAGAGGCGGATAGAGAAAGCAGGAGAGAGGGCAGAGAGGAATCAAAGGAAGACAGACGGAAGAGACAGGAAGCGGAGAGACGAAGAGAAAGGAAAACGAGCGAAGGCAAAGAAGAAAGAACTAGAAAGAGAGAAGAAGAGAGGGAGAGAGAGAGTAGAAGGAAGAGCTGGATGCGACAGTGCAGTCGAGAGAGCGGATGAAGAGCGAGGACGAACAATAGAGACACGAGAAGGTGCGAGAAAAGAGAGACAAGCAGAGACGAAGAGAAGACGAGAGAGACATTCCAGACAGAGAGCAGAGAGACAGAGACAAGGCAGAAGAGAGGAGACGAGACAGAGAAGAGACGCTAAGAGACATATAGAGAATACGGCGAGCGAGCAGAGAGAGAGACGAGAGACGAGAGAGTAGAGAAAGAGAGAGAGAGAGAGAGAGAGGAGAGAGAGACGAGAGAGAGCGCTCAAGATAGGCTAAAGAAAGAGAGAGAGAGACAAGAGACAGAGAAGGACAGAGAAGAGCAGAGCGAGACAGCAAATAGCGCACCGCACGAGACGCAGAGAGCCGAGCGGAGAGGTACACAGATCGAGACGAGAAGAGAGACAGAGAGAGACTAAACACGAAAGAGAGAGAGAGAGAGAGATCGAGAAGACGCATCCAGAGCGGAGAGATCGTGAAGGACGAGACATTGAGAGTGAGAATTGTTCTCTACGATATAGGGGACGATGAGCAGAGCACGGAGCATGACGAGGAGACAGTACAGACAGAGAGAGAAAGACACGCAGAGAGAGGGAGAAGGTGCAGGGCAGAAGGACAAGAAGAGCCGAGTACGGGAGCGAGGAGGACCAGAGAACGAGAAGCACGGACACAGCGCAGGCAGAGAGAAGACGAGATAACGAAGAGAGAGTGAGAGCGAGAAGAGACGAAAAAGAGAGAGAGAGAGAGAGAGAGAGAGAAAGCAAGAGAGAGCGAAAGAGAGAGAGAGAGAGAGGAGCGAGAGAGAAAGCCAAGCGAGAGAAAGAGAGAGAGAGAGAAGCAAAGAGAGGGAGGAGGGTAAAGGGACAAGCTAACGAAGAGTACTGAGCACACGAGAAGGAGAGAGCAGAGAGAGAAGAGAGAGAGAGAAGTAAAGAGAGGGAGGGGTAAAGGGAAAGCAAGAGAAAGAGAGAGCGAGAGAGAGAGAGAGAAGTAAAGAAAGAAACGCAGCGGGCAGGGAGCGCGGACGGAAGGTAGACACGAAACAAGCAATCGAGAGAGTCGCGAGAGAGCAACGAGATCTACATACAGACACGAGCGAGCGAGCGCAGAGAGAAAGACAGAGAGAGCAAATCAAACCAAGAGATGGGACAGCGGGATAAATGGAAGCAAGAGAAGAGAGAGGCTGAGAGAGAGAAGTAAAGAGAGGGAGCGACAACACAGCGACGAAAGCGGATAACCAAGGGATAAGCCAACAGAGCGAAGAGCGAGACGAAGCGAGACGAGAAGTAACACGGCACGAGGGCCGAACAGGGTGAGAGGCGAACAGCACCGACACTGGAAGAGAGCGAGAAGAGAGAGAAGAGAGAGAGAGAGAGAAGTAACGAGAGGGAGGGAGGGTACGAGGAAAGCAACGAGAGAGGCGAGAGAGAGAGAGAGACGAGAGAGAGAAGCAGACATAAAGAGAGGAGGAGGGGTAAAGGGAAAGCAAGAGAAGCCGAAGCGACAGGCCACGAGAGAGCACGCGAGAAAGCTACAAGAGAGCAGAGCGAACGACAGGACGAGTCTAAAGGAGAACAAGCAAAGACGAGAGGCGAGAGAAGCAGAGAGAGCGAGCAGAAAAGTAAAGAGAGGAGGGCAAGGTAAAGGGCAAAGTCAAGAGAGAGCGAGAGAGAGAGAGAGAAGTATAAAGAGAGGGAGGCGAGGGAAAAGGAAACAAAGATAGAGGCGAGCGAGAAGAAGAGAGAGTGAGAGCAGAGACGAGCAGAAGCACGAAGCAAGAGACGCACAAGAGGGAGAGAGAGAGCGAGACATACAAAGAAGGGAGCGGCAGGCGACGGAGGAGCTAAAGGCGAATAGAGTGCGTGCATAACGGTGCCGCAGGCACACACGCACACATACGTGCTCACACCGTCCGCCTACCCGTACAGTCGAGAAAGTCGCGCGCACTGTAATCAATACTAGGCACGCGCTGTTATGTCGGTATAGGAATTCTATTTGGAAACGTAGCATTTAAACAAAATGCAAGCGGCAATCCCTGATTATCGAGGTAAAAACTCCAGAACACTAATCGCCGCGAGCGAAAAATCTGCGAGCACGATAGACACGAAACGGCTGTGATACGGCTGTGGTGATCTGGGAAGCGTATAGCGCGCGAGAATAGCGAGAGGGAGGCCAAAGCTGCAAGGTTACGGAGAGCGTAAGCGTAGAGGCTGTTGGCGAGAGAGAGCGATGAGATAAAACGTTGCAGAGTTAATCGAGTAAAAGAACTGAGTATGGAAACGTAAGTAAGGTAATGTAGAGAGCAAGTGGAAAGGATTGAGCGTGGTCTTACAGAAACCGAACTCGAGAGACGAATACGACTGTGATAGCCACTGGTGGTGACCGCAAGAGAGAGAGAGAGAGAAGAGAGAGAAGAGAGAGAGAGAGAGAGACGAGAGAAAACAGGAGGGGACGATGGAGGGAGAGGGCGTAAAGAGGAAAGAGAGAAATAGAAACGAGACCGAGAGAGAGAGGGTAGCACAGAAACATAGTAAGGAGATAGAGAGAGAGAGAGAGAGAGAGGAGAGAGAGACGAGGAGAAGAGGACACCAAAATTTCGGAGAGAAGAAGCAGAGAGAGCGCAGAGAGCGAGAGAGAGAGAGGAGACGAAAGAGAGAGAGAGAGAGAGGACGAGACGAAGAGAGAGCAGCCCACACCAGAGGAGAGCAGACGCAGAGAGGTAGTATCGAGCAGAGAGACGAGAGTAATGAGAAGAGGAAGACCCAGAGAGTAGGAGAGCAAGAGGACCGATATACTCAGAGATGAGAGAGAGAGCGAGCGAGAAGTGTGCCACGAGTAATAGAGTAGTAACCGAGAAATTAGTATGAGGATCAGAGAGAGGAAAGAGGAATGCATGCACGAGAGAAGAGGAAGAGAGAAAGATAGAGAGATGAGAGCGGAAGGAGAAGAGAGAGAGTAAAGCTTCAGATTGCACGAGGACGTTTTGAGCAGCAACTGTAAAAGAATGAGAGAAGCGATTGGCGGAGAGAGAGAGAGTATTGCAATAATAGACGAGAGAGCTCCATGAGAGAAGCAGCCGCGAAGAGAGAGAGGAGAGCGAGACCAACAAAGGCAGAGCAGAAACGAAGGCAGAGATAGTAGCGACTATCCGGAAAGAATCTTCCTATGCCTACGAGCAATACGCGTCCATGACGGATGAGCGTTAATTATGCGTATGTCGTATTATCATAGATGCTAGCAGAACAAGCTGCTACGAGGAAAGGTTCATGCTATGACCTAATGTTGAGACTAATTTCGTTTCTGACAGCTTTCACCGCTAACGATTGCTACTGCGAAATTCGGGGATTCAAGACACCACGTGACCGTGAAAGGCATTACTCTGCTTGTGATGCGTGGCCGGTCATCTGCATCACTAGTAGCCTCCACGCCCGTATACCCCGGTAGCAGACACAACACAACACTTATCACCGCACACAACCGCACGCGCACCGAGCGCACGGAACACGCACACACACACACACACACACACACAGTCGATGTTACTCTGCCCATTCGGCTAAGCGGACGCCGCATATTAGGGCTCATCACCGTGACTCGTCATAAACTCAACATCGCGCGATGACGACTTACAAATAAAGATTAACGCGTCGCAAAAGAATACTAAAGCACGAAAACGGAAGACGAAAGGCAATTACGTAATACCGAGTATATATATATATTATATAAATATATATAATTAATAATATATATATATATATTATAATATAATAATATATATATATAATATATATATATATATATATACAATATAATATATGTATGGTATATATACTACGGATATATTAATATCGCTATCA